GCTTTTACAAATACATATAGAAATAACGTAAAGTAATAAAAGATCGAACTTCTAGACGTTCACTGACAACTTTTCATACTTTGCTCTACTCAACGTAACGAATATATCTGCTCATCGATTTATCATAAAAGAACTAATGACATCCATCGAAGGAAGAGTCTTTTCCTCGTCAGAGAATAACAAACACTTTTTTACAAATTACGATATAAATCATTTTAGTCTGATGCAAGTTCGTAGAGAAAAACTGCCCGTCAACTTACGGAAGATAGAAATCTTATAAAGACTGCATACGTGAGAATTCTTTTTCAAATTGAAATAACACACGGCGCAAGAAATCGTAGTATCAATCATCTTCCATCCAAGGATGTTGGCCATGTGCAAATGCTTCCATGAAAATATGGATTTCAAACGGTCGGAAAATCTTTTGAAGTATAAGGGACAATCTTCAACTAAGTTATCATACTAAATGAAATATTAGAAATATTAATAATCTGGTACGTTAGAAATTTTCCTGGTATCCAAGCAGAGGGTTTGACCGAGCAAAATTATTATGAGTTCATGCGAGTCGGGGTGAAAGAAAGAAGCGTGGACAAGACATCGCAGGGAAGCCACGAGGACGGTTCCCGTTGTTCGGTAAATGCGCAGAAGCATCGCTTTGCTCGGCCGCGGCATCGCGACGAGGGCTAACGCAGTCACGAATCGCGCGGCGTCCGTGCCGGTTCATCTCTCCGTGTCCGATTCGTGCTTTCTTCGGTTTTGCAAGCTCAGGCGAGCTAGTGTTTCCCCTGTCGATTCTCTCGAGAAGTTCGATCGATCGAAAAAATCGAGAGGATTGAAGAAAAGGGTGAGGCATCGCTTTGCGAAATAGTTATAAAAAGAACAGTTGGAGAAATCGATAAAATTTAATGTGACAATATTGCAAAGTTGACAGTGTTTATTACATTGGAAGTGAAATGATATGTAAGTATCTAAAAATTAAATCGACGAGAACACAATTGAATGAGATGCGTTTTAAAAATTCTTAAAAGGATATCCAGAGTGGACATTGCATTTACAAAAGTTCGGACGTCGAAGAAATTTCATTCGATACCTGCGGCAATATAATTTGGACAAGAGTTTCAGAAATTTATTGACAAGGTTTGAAAATATATTAAACCGAAGAAAATTAAAGTACCAGTTTGGTACAGTATAATTAAGGAGTACTAAAATAAGACTGGTGAGTAAGTTTGATCCTTGAGTGAAGTTCTCAAACCTACAACCTAAAGTGAATAGTAAACAAGTTTAATTAACCGGCCAAATCTTTATTAAACCAGTTCCGCGTTCGGTAAATTGTAAGAACGATACAAGGAAGTCCGTATAACGAGTCAGTTTACCCAAGGAGAGCGACCAATCACTGACCCTTAAATGGATTACCACGTACCTCGAACTCTTAAAGTATTGGAACACAGGTACACCCTTAGCCACCGTCCGAACACGATGCAACCAATTTAAATGAATCACAATTACAAAGCAACAAACGTCCATTAACACCGGAAGAATAACAAATCGAGACATTGCATTAAGTGTTAAATCACCAACCTAGTCCATCAATAATGAATGGGCTAGAAATCAACATTTTTCTGAACACAAACCATGTCCACTGAAGAAACAAGAAATCACGCCAAGTGACGAGATCAGAATGGATCAGCCATCGTTTTCGCCTGATTTATTTAACGCCAGCTCCGGTCTTCAGGATCACCTTTTCTCCGCCGATCCTCAGAGGGACTCGCTGTACATCGTGATCCCAGTCACCATCATTTATATATCGATCTTCGTCACCGGTACGATCGGGAACATAAGCACGTGCATTGTGATAGCGCGCAACAAGTCGATGCACACGGCGACCAACTATTACCTCTTCAGCTTGGCAATCTCGGACCTGTTGCTGCTGGTCTCCGGGCTTCCAGCCGAGATTTACATGGTCTGGTACAAATATCCGTACATATTCGGCGAGGGTTTCTGCATTCTCCGTGGCCTGGCCGCTGAAACTTCGGCGAACGCTTCGGTTCTGACTATCACCGCGTTCACCGTCGAGAGATACGTGGCCATCTGCCATCCATTCCTCTCGCAGACGATGTCTAAATTGACTAGGGCAGTGAAACTTATTTTGATCGTATGGCTGGTAGGATTGTCGTTCGCGTTGCCGCAGGCTCTGCAGTTCGGCGTGGTTCAGCTACCCACGCATCCGAATATGATGATGTGCACCGTGACGAAAGTTCTGTTGAGGCACTCTTTCGAACTGTCCACCCTGCTGTTCTTCGTGATGCCGATGAGCGTGATTACTGTACTCTACGTGTTAATTGGACTGAAACTGAGGAAGTCGAGTATGATGAAGAGAGGCAGCGGGAGGGATCAGAGAGGAAGCTGCAGGCATCATCCTGGAAGGTCCTCGAGGAGGGTGCTCAAAATGCTTGGTTAGTAGCTTTTTATTATCTTCAGTAAAGTGAAAAATAATAGATATTGCATAAGGATAAAAACTTTTTCTCTTCTGTTTCTTTCTTTTTATTCTTTCTATTCTATTTATATATATATAAGTAAAAAGTGAAAGGAAAATTGAATTTTGGAAACTTTCTTCTTTGTCACGTAAGAGAATCTCGAAGCTATTGAATCGAAACGGCTATCAGGTAGCACCGAGCTTTAGCGAGTTGCTTAAGAAGATAAAGGAATTGAAGGGTGGAGAACGATCCATCCTTTTCCCTAAGGATTCGTCCTCGCCATTTAAGGCAAAGACAGGGGAAACCCCTTTTAGTTTGGACTCGATCCTTTGTGGAAGTTCGTCTTTCGAGAACGAACTCGGAAATGTACTTGATAACAAAAGAGAGAATCCTTTGATTTAATAATTCGATTGAAAATTGGAAATTGTGGTATCGGGGTAGTAATTTTTTTTCTCCTGAATGTGTTATAAAAAATGCACTTCCTAACGGGTTATTTCTGTTCTCGAAGGGCAGGTATATGGTTTGAATAAAAATCCATCATTGTAAAACGAAATGTCGTCGAGCGGAGACATTCGGAGGAGTCGAAGACGTCCCTTGTCTCTTTATGACGGCCATAAAAGTTCGTTTATTGTTACCAGACGGTTAAAAGTAATAATAAAATGAATAAAAATGTCAACGACATTCTCAGCGGTTCACGAATTACTTTTTCATGACTTCACAAATGAATCAGGAAGCATGCATTATATTTTTGATTCGCTTTAAAATGTACAGCATTCTAATTGCAATTTATAAGAAAATTTGGAATCGGGAAGTCGAGGGTGGCCAGGCTTACAAAACGTCTTCGACTGATGGACTGCTAATTAGGTCAATGAGATCAATTGGGAGAAAGAGAAAGGCGCCCTAATCGAAAATATAGTGTCGACTATTTTTATGGCTTCATGCCTATATTTATTTCGTAACCCTTTCAAGGTTAATAAAGAAGATCTCAGGTGTTTATAGATAACTTTTTCATGTTTCGACAGAGTCTAATAATAATAACGCTTAGGATGCAGGAATGTTTCGAATGAGATAAAATAATTCTAGTTTTAAATTAAGTCCATTCCTAGGCCTTAAGCCTAAAATACAGCATTTTTATACATGTATATGTATATGTATATAAAGAGGCTCTATTAATTAAAATATTCACACGACGTACGATCATATGTGAAATTCGAGAAATTCTACTAAATTATTTTCAAAATTTACGACCAGGAGGTTGGATGAGTTCTCATTCAGGAAACCTAGAAATGTTATTAACGCTGGATACGTCTATAGAGGATCCGACGAATTAGGATCTTCCGTGGAGACCTTTTCCGAATGTTCGCCGATTGATGCCCGACGTTAGGGGAAGGATAACGGTGTCGATGACTAGCAAATGAAATTCCGAGTATGATTTGTCCCAAATCAGAATCACCCTCAGAATTCTTGCATTCAATTCAATCTTCGACGCTTTCATATGAAAATAATTGTCATTTGTAATTTAGAAAATTTAATAATGAAATTTATTGTAAAATACAATATAAACGGGAATCCCTTTAATTTATAGAAAAACATAGCAAATGTAAGACGAAATTTGCACCGTGTTTGAAGATTCATTATGGAACCCGAAAATCCGAGCGGCGTTCTTTACTATTTTTGTGGAATATCACCAGGGGAAGAGAATTCTCTATATTGCTCGACTCTCAAGGAATCTCATTCGTTATTCATTCAGTATGAGCATCGGGAGCATTTTTTTTGCTGAACAGTGACGGAATGTTAAATCTCTAAATACGCGAGTTTGGAAATTTCTTCCTTCTTGTTTATGAAAAGAAATCCGGGTGCATCGAAATCACCAGTAATAACCACTCGAATATTAACGTGTCCACAGCGATGTTCAGTTCAACGTCACGTGATATTGTACATACAGAGATCCTCCGTAAAATTTTAATATTTCCGGAAGTCGTCAGTAGTCCGCTGATTTTTATATAAAATAAACTCTTCATGGTATTAGTTTAAAAATTGTGTTTCAAATAAATTTCATTTTTTAAACATTACAATTGCATTTGATGTTCTAATCAATATTTATTAGAAAACTTCCATATTACGTGATGAAAAGAAGAATCATTCGTTGCCGACTAAACTTCTTAGACATATTTATGAACGATTATTGAAACGTCAGTTAGAAAAACACGATCGTCAAAGCGCAGAGTAAATAACAGTGATCATTCATCTATATCAGACAGATGTAAATTCAAATCGGTGGAACTAAGTTTTTCAATTAGTCGTCAGAATATCTTTAACTTTCCTTATTCAGAAAGAAGTAACTCGTGGATCGAGAATTGTTTTATCGTATCGTGAACAAAAATAAATTGGATATTCGAGAAGTAAAATTATTATGTAACGAGTGTCGTGATGTGCATATCATTCCAGCGAGATTAACGCCCATTTGTCGAATTGATAGTAGCGATCCGAAAGATGGATCCGAGATAAATAAGCAATAATTTTTGCACGCTCTTGTCTTTGTTTTATGAACGGTGGTCCAATCGATTGATATTCTCGATGCGATGGAATGTTGATATTTTGCAAAATTAAAAGATGGAATGGAAGCTTATGGAAATGAGCGACAAAAATATCGGTGAACTTTGGATCCTCGCGGAATTCGTGTCTGAAAATAAACAAGTGAACTTTATTCTTGGTTTGGAAAATTTTAAAGAACATCTCCATACAATGATGTGCTTCTGTTATAATAATCACAGCTTTTTAATGACACCAATTATCGTTAACGATCATTGCTACCTTGTGCCGCCTTAAATTACGTAAATGCTGTAGAAAAATTACTAGATCACCTGCGGCGTAATGCACGACATCGATTTGACATAAGAAGGCAGCTACCTCCTTCTTAAATCAATTCCGAACGGTTCATTACCGAAGATTGGCTCTATCATTGAAGTTTACTAAACAGATTTTTAATTAATGTCCAAGCTTGAATAATTAAAAATGTTGTCCAAACATACTTTAGAAGAATCCTAAATTGCACAAGATAATTATTATACAGCATCATCAATGAAGCTTAGACGACACATTTTTAATTAATGTGCAAGCTTGAATAATTAAAAATTTCATTGAAGCACACTTTAGAAGAATCCTAAATCAAACATAAGGGGTTAATTTTTTTACCAAGCCTTATTATAGTATAGCTGCATCCATGAAGTTTAATCGAGTGATTTTTAATTAATGTCTGAACTTAAAAAATAATTTTAAATTGTCTAAGCTTGAGGAAAAATATTTTAAATTGCACAAGATAATTAAATTGAAGTAATTTATTTTCGTACTGCCACGTCCGAAGTTAGTTAGATATGCAAATACGTGCGAAAACACGCGAACTTGAAATTCATTCGAGACAACAAACAATAAACAACTCTTGAACGAGAAATTCAGGAATCCAATAAAAATTCAATCTTCGCGTGGCATCATGTTGACGGGCTGAAAATAAATCGGGAAGCGGTGAGCAAAGATCAAGTGGCGCTCGAACGGAAAATGGGAAGTGCAATTCCATCGATTATTTCCCCGTCCGCGGTGCACAGTTTCTTCATTGTTATTCGACGGGGTCAGTGATAAAATCGATGGTGTGTAAACAACCGCCGAGATCAGAAATTCATATATCGACAGCTCGTGAAACAATATATTTCACGTCATGTTCATTAACTTTCGTTGATCGAAAATTAATAATTCATAATTCCAATTTCATTTCTAGTTTGACATTTCCAACGAAAATTGCAAAACAAATTCCAATGACCGAAACGTCAAGCTATAACTCTGTCATTACAAAAACTGTACTTTTATGCAAAATAGAACAATTATCAATGTTTTATGAACGGTGGTCCAATCGATTGATATTCTCGATGCGATGGAATGTTGATATTTTGCAAAATTAAAAGATGGAATGGAAGCTTATGGAAATGAGCGACAAAAATATCGGTGAACTTTGGATCCTCGCGGAATTCGTGTCTGAAAATAAACAAGTGAACTTTATTCTTGGTTTGGAAAATTTTAAAGAACATCTCCATACAATGATGTGCTTCTGTTATAATAATCACAGCTTTTTAATGACACCAATTATCGTTAACGATCATTGCTACCTTGTGCCGCCTTAAATTACGTAAATGCTGTAGAAAAATTACTAGATCACCTGCGGCGTAATGCACGACATCGATTTGACATAAGAAGGCAGCTACCTCCTTCTTAAATCAATTCCGAACGGTTCATTACCGAAGATTGGCTCTATCATTGAAGTTTACTAAACAGATTTTTAATTAATGTCCAAGCTTGAATAATTAAAAATGTTGTCCAAACATACTTTAGAAGAATCCTAAATTGCACAAGATAATTATTATACAGCATCATCAATGAAGCTTAGACGACACATTTTTAATTAATGTGCAAGCTTGAATAATTAAAAATTTCATTGAAGCACACTTTAGAAGAATCCTAAATCAAACATAAGGGGTTAATTTTTTTACCAAGCCTTATTATAGTATAGCTGCATCCATGAAGTTTAATCGAGTGATTTTTAATTAATGTCTGAACTTAAAAAATAATTTTAAATTGTCTAAGCTTGAGGAAAAATATTTTAAATTGCACAAGATAATTAAATTGAAGTAATTTATTTTCGTACTGCCACGTCCGAAGTTAGTTAGATATGCAAATACGTGCGAAAACACGCGAACTTGAAATTCATTCGAGACAACAAACAATAAACAACTCTTGAACGAGAAATTCAGGAATCCAATAAAAATTCAATCTTCGCGTGGCATCATGTTGACGGGCTGAAAATAAATCGGGAAGCGGTGAGCAAAGATCAAGTGGCGCTCGAACGGAAAATGGGAAGTGCAATTCCATCGATTATTTCCCCGTCCGCGGTGCACAGTTTCTTCATTGTTATTCGACGGGGTCAGTGATAA